TGTATGTGTGTGTGTACTGACCATTGGCTACGGTGTGTATGAGAAACACTTTGCAACGGAACACACATAGATTTATACTATGTAAGCAACAGTTTGGCAAATGCTTATTTAGTTTTGTATCTAAAACAGGTATTGATCTCTTTTGTTTTCTATACATAGATGCATGCAAGCATACATACAAATATACCTTAAGTTAGCTGAAAACAAATTGTATCGGTTAATTTGCTATACAAGTACCTTCTATAATGCAGGCAATATATTACATACATACATGCATGCATATGGGCACATACATATACATATATATATATATATATATAATATTCATACAGAAACAAGTCCAATCGAATTCCCGAGTACAAATATCGTTGACACTTATGCTCATATTTTTCAAAACTAAATGCAAGCCGTTGATTTCCTTTTCAAAGCAATCATAGGTTTCTTTTTGCCATATTAAATTCACGAATGCGTTGGTAACGTTTTATCACACACACAAATATTCCTAACATCTCTTAATACAATTGAGCGTCAAATATTAAGATTGAATGCCAATTCTATATACATGTATATATATATATATAGTGCATCATTAGATCACAAACGGAATTAATGAAGTGTTTGTACAAATTTTGCTTGAATGAATTAAGATGAATTACTCTTCGCTCGATGCCATGACTAATGCATTAATGCATCTACCGTCACACAGGCTCATCATGAAACGTGAGTCCAACAAAAAAAAGGTAAAAATTACAAAATTTCAAAATTTTATCTCTGATCAGCAAATGATGAGCAGCGAGTCGCTCGATCCGGTTTTTCGGTTTACGGTGTACAAGACTCGCGATAAATTCAATAAAATTTTCCAGTTTTTAGTTGTCTTATAGCTTGATATTAGATAACAGGCTTTCAATAATTGTAAAATATGTGACAAGCATTGATAGCTTAATTCACTTAAATATATACTTATATATACATATATATATATATATAAGTTGATTTTATCAATTTCACATCTACACTTATATATATCAGAGTTGTCTTAATAAGTTTTACATCCAGCAACGCTATAAAGATTTATGATTTAATATTTACATGATGATAACTATCAGAGGATATATCGGCATTCGAGCGATCAGCGATCCTTTCTGGATAATTATGTGTCATAAAATCCCAAATGGATTCCCCTTTATCGTTCGCATTCCAGCCACCTTCGATTTGATACGACGATGAGCCAACTCCCCACACGAAGTCTTTCGGGAAGTTGCGTTGAAATTTATCTGCCGCCAACCTGCATATATGCAAAAATTAAATAAATAATAATATAAATAAAAAAAATAATGATAAGAATCAAATTGAAAATTATTTAAACGTATACAGCTTACGGCATACGCCATACGGCATAAGTTTTATATATTTGTTCGCATGTATATATGTATGTATGTATGTATGTATGTATATATATATGTATTTATATATTTGTATGTGTGTATGTACAAAACACAATATTATAGTTATAATTAATTGCATAATTTTTTTCCAATCACCATAAGCAAATAGGAAGACTTTTGATCATATCTTCTCTAGCAGTCAAAAATGCGCAGACTCTGTACAACAACAGTACACTGTGTGGGATAAATGGATTGCATTAATTGCCTTAAGGATTGATTATTAAATTGATTTAGCATATTCTTCAAATAAGTTAGAAGCTTACTTGCCCACTTCATTTAGATGAATTAATGGCTATAATAAAACATTCTTGAAGGGGAAGAAAGCGGAGAACAAAAAAAAATCCCCTGAATACTATTCAAATGTAAGAGAGATGCTCAGGATTACTACAAACAAACTTTACGTTTTTTTGTTTTCGCCAAATCTTAAGATTGAATTCCCAATGCGTATATAAATATCTTACTCGCTTAATATTAATATTAATTTTAGTTGAAGTGAATTTGCATTTTTCGCTCATACATACTGACAAAATGCATTGATTTGTCATATGAAACGAATTAACTTAACTTGCACTTCTTTCGCCTCTCAACGCAAAGATTCTATTACGAACATTATAATTAATACTTTTGTTCTTCTTTTCTCCGTTTATCTTTTTAAGAGGTTCCCTTCCAAGACCTATGAACTATGAATTAAGCCGGCTACGATTGTAGTGGAGATCAACTGTTATCTCGATGGAAGAGTTATATCAAGTTCGATTTATTTCATTAGTTAAGTATCCTGTTTGGGATCATTCTCACTTACGAAGCCGGACGAAAATGGGAAAAGACTTTACACCAATCGCGAGATTGACTTTGCTCACTGATAGCGATTTTAAGGAGATCGAAGATAATAGTCCTGTAAACTTAGACGCCTAGAGCTTCTCTCCGGCCTAGCTAGGACTCGGAACACTATCTAGTAATAAAATAAATCAGACTCTTGTTGTCGAACGGGAGGAAGGAGAATATATCAAGAAATCGAAATAAAATTACAAGATCAGATTTTTAATATTAAATCTTTTCAGACAAAATATATGGGAGTAGGCGTAGACATAGGCGACTGGCGAATGAGGCGATTACAGATGATTAAAGATTAAAACTTTTTAATATACCATCGAGTAAGAATCAGGAAGAAAGAGAGAGAGACAAAGAGAGATAAACGGCATACCAGCCAACTATATTATATATATAAGCAATTTCATACGATCTCGGTGAGTCTCTCATCGAAATAAAAATCCGATTACATGATTTCGTTTTGATTATTGTTCAGGTAAATTTGCAGTCAAATTATCATTGCGCAACTTTTCGCGGCAATTGAGGCAATGTTTTCACTTAATCGATAGCTAGGCGAATAAAGAACATCCGAGAAATCGGCTTTAGAGAAAATGAAAACACTTTTGTCTAAATACCAATACTAACATCTTCGATCCTATATTCGAGCTATAACGAAGTTCGCCTTTTCAGGAAATCAATTGCTACCATTTTCCTCGTTTTTTTTTTCCCCCATCCAAACATAAACAAATAACAAAATTATATCCGCCATCTGTCACCGTGATCCTGAATAAAAGCGAAAAGAACCAAAATTTCATACTCTATAGTACTGAGTGCACGCGCTCGGGTATTTATATGGCGTGTGTCTTGTACTCTGCGATTAACAAGAAAAAAATCCGCAAAACCAAGGTGTTCATAGTCTTTGGCACATAGACGTGTCCTTTGATCGGTTTAGATCATTTTCAAAGTCTTTTGAAAGTTTGAAGGCGATCTCTTAATTTTTGCAAATGGAAGAATGTTTACCTCACGTTCTACACTACTAGTTGGGAAATGAATTTTTTTAATCCCTTTGAAAAACTGAGGTATCCTCAATTTACGTAGTACTGTAGACGTGTACTTCGATCGATTTAGCCCATTTTCAAAATGCCAACCTGCGCACAAGAACTTGACGAAGCTTCATTTTTACGGCGACGAGAATATTTAACACAAACGGACGGATGGACATACTTATATCTATTCAGAATTTAGTGCTAATCAAAAATATATATATATACTTTGAGGGATCGCTGAAGCGTCCTTCTGGGCGTTGTAAACGTTTTCACAAAATGCTTATACCTCTGCATCCTTCTTCGTCATTTGGGAGGAAATGCTTGAATATAAACTGCACTGGAAATATATTTGAAATTGTTCCGGAAAATAAGGAAAGTAAGCTCTATCCGTCTTCAGATCAGGTGCAAAGGCAAAAGTATATAACTTATGTGGAATTTTACAAATTAACTGCGTATCATTTAATTCCGATCAATTAAATTCGATTTTAATATGTATATGTGTTTATTTGCAATAAATCGTAGATGGAAATGCATTAACAATTGTAAATAAATCATTGCAGATGTATTGCAATTGCTTGTGCATTCCAATCAAGTTTAGCTTTGGATATAGATCCATACGACATAAGATTTGTAATTTGCAAACGATAGACTCGTAGATAGATGTACAGACACGCTTATGGCTGATTCCCGACATTCAATGTCACGTAGTATTTGAGAAAAGATATATAACTCGTAATCAGACCAGTGCTTATTTATGAGTTAGTTCAGCTTGCAACTCGATTTTGATAAATGTAGCGTATCGTCAAGCTTCGATGATGGGTATAAGGGAAACAATGATGAAAGCAAAAAAAAAAAAAAAATAAAAAAGAAAAAAAACCTGTTAAAAATAACTTAAATGTAAAATTATTTATTTAAAGTTACTGGAGAACTGGTATGATGCCTGACAGCCCGATGCCTGACGCCTGATGCCTGTTGAATTCATTAAAAGAAGAAAAAAAAAAAAAATAAGAAGATAATTTTGCTTTGTGTTCTTTGTTCTTTCGGGTAGACACTGGTAGACGGGATCGTATTGTTTAAATCAAAACTAACTGTTACCAATTGTTCTCAGGACGTGCACAAGCAATTTTCTATCCAACTAACCATTTGCCCATATGGTCATAATAACACACAGTATCTATCTGTTAGTTGAGCTGCATGCGCAAACACGTTCGAATTCAAACAATTAATTGACAAATTTAACGGTTTGACTTTCAAAGACATTTGTCATTATTTTTGGCGCTTACTATGTTATAATGGTCTTGGCGATCATTTTCAATGACACATTCGAAACTAAATTAAAGCAACTTATGTCGTTTAAGTTGCTCTTCTGCAATAACATATTTATTTAATCGCACTTAGATCATAGATAGAGATTATTAATTAAAAAAAAAAAAAAAAAAAAAAAAAAAAAAAAAACATAAAATGCTTGTTATTTTTCATTTTAATAGGATATCATCTCTTCTTGCTTTAACACTTACACAAACGTTACATTCAAATAAATGATATATAAACAACATATCAGCCTTAATGCACTTGACATGTTTTTAATCGCTTTTCGAAATTCGAATTCAAAAATAAAAAAAAATAAAAAACGGAATAAAATAAATAAAAAAACTACCGATCAGACGTTAACACATGCAAGCTATGGACGTATTATCCTTATGAACTTGTTAATTAATTTGTTTACTTGAAGCTTTTCGCGTTTTCTAAACGAACGACAACTTTTAATTTCATAACAGAACAAAATGCTGATAAAATATACTTGAGAACGCTTTTATATGCTACTTTGATACTCGTCGCATTACCTGGTTAGCCAGCCAGTGAGTGAAACAATTAAGAAGTGTAAATAAACGACAAAAAAAAAAAAACAGAAAACAAAAAAACAAAAAAAAAATAAAAATGAAACAAGTAAGAAAGCAAGCAATATTCGCCTTGAAGCGAATCTATGGTACTTATCTAAGATTAAAATGTAAGGAACTACGAGTTAGACTAAGTACTGATGTACTTAGATATTAGCTTTACTCCAATCAATACCACATGAGTTATTTTAAGTAAATTTTTTATAAAGTTCCGCTCTATTTCCAAGATTTGTAATTCCGAGAACTTCGAACAGTAAACATATATGCAACAAGACAAACATGCGTGCCCAAGCTCATACTTGTTTAGATCGTATACATAATTTATGTTTCCTCTATAACATGTGTTCATACGTCACAAAAGATTTGCTGTGCTCTACTATTCCGGAAACAGATGTAAAAAGAAAACGACCTGCTTCGCCTCCCAAACAAGATGTGCTGGAAAAAATAGCTGACTTATAAAATTTCATAAGCAACGTACTTTCGATTATCGAATTTGTTTTTGGCATATTAGTACACATGTCGAACATGTTTTGGGATGGTTGGCGAGCTCTCCACACAACGCCCTCAACCGTTTCCTACTCAAGATAATTCAAAGCAATTTGAATTTCAACAACAAACAGTTTTAAAATCTCAAAGTACTTCGCAACATTCGGCTTTAAATGTTCCAATGGTGGTTCGTAACATTTCAATGACAACAATCTGCACTTCTTCCTAATAATTTAATTAATAATGTGGCTTCGACCCTAAATCTTTCGAATCTCTCGAAGTCCCTTTTCTCTACGATTTTTTTTAATTACACTAATTTTTTTTTTTAATTTTTGATGAAAAAATGTTTTACCTGTTATTATTATTATTATTATCATTATTATTATTATTATTATTATATATAAAAACTTCAAACCTTCTTTATTGACCTACTTCCTCTACTATTTTCATTATTATTTTGTTACTAGGACTTTATCACGAGTGAAATCAAGGTATACTAAACTTATCTAAATAATAAGGTTGCAGTTAAATTAACATCTAACTTATACTTAGAAAATATTGATTATTCAATTACCTTGAGAATATATCCAATTAAAGAAGTATAAAGTTCAAGTAAAAGATCAGAAAAATTATTTTCATTTTATATTAAATAAATGTATATAAAAATAAAATATATATCAAAGAATGATATAAGATTGCTTTTGCTCTGAATTTCACATAAAGCATTAGTTTCTACAAACAGCTAATAATCAGCAATCACCGTCTACAAACAGCTAATAACCAAACCAATACCGTCTACAAACCTCTTATATCCACACTTGCATGAATTATGATCCAAATCTCCCTCTACAAACCGCTAATAACAAAAATTACATGGATTATGATAATTATGCTAAAAATAAAATAGCATTGAAAGTTTAAGACTAACTGACGTGGCTATATATGATTCCAAAACCTGGTTCTGTAAAATCTTAAATGCTAAATGATTTACATATAGTTATACGATTTATATATAGTTGCAATATTTATTCAAAATATTTAGACAAAATTAATATAAATCAGTGAATGCTAGCAAAAATTCAATACGAAAATTTAATATTTAACGTCTAAGATATTTAAAAATCGAATGCGCACACCTTTTAAATAAAACGATTATTGATAACTCGATATGATTGCTATCGATTACAAGCAACTACGACAATTTATTGTGAACCGTACTTATAAAGCAGGCCTTAAGGTCTTCAAACACAATGATGCGTTATCCCTATTTCCGTAATGGGACTTGAAATTTGCTGACCTTTTACGAGACTTTATAGAAATTGGCAAATCATACGGTCTTGCCACACATATAAATCTTTTCAATTTTCTGGCTTCTTTATTGTAATTAATCAATCAAAAATTTTATTTGTTTTTACGTTAATTATCTTATCATTGCATTCCATATAATTGCTGTTCACACATATGTCGACTTCTTTAGTTTTACTTCTCAAGTCATATGGTTTTGTTTATATTTACGTCAATTATTTTATTTTTTCTTATAAAAAAAAAATGGTTTAACGCGGTTTGTCATTGCATGTTTATCAGTTGAGACTTATTAACGCGAGAAAATGGAATAACCAATTATTGTGTGGAAGGTCTTATAAACGATTTGCAACAGCGAAAGTTTCAGCGTTTTTGTGAAATAGTTTCACTTGAAAAATCCACTGTCTTCAGTGAAAGTAAAAGCGACCAAAGCGACTGCAGATAAATAACACTAACAAGCTTATTTTTAATTTATGAAAATAACTTTGAGACCTAAATAATTTGGATGCGTTTTGCGCTGCAAAATATTCAAGATATACAATGAAAATACATATATAGCCTAATTTTAACCACAACCATAATTTTCAGTGCTATCGAATCTTATCGGTTTCAAAAAACAGCGGGCAGTATCGCAAATCGTTTTCGAGTTAAAAACTCGCAAGTGGCAAATGCAATGGGCAGTCACGTTGCCATATTGCTGTACAGGCAAATGTAAAGAAAAACATATAGTTTTAGAATCAAAAATAAGATCATAACATAAACGGAAACCAAGAATTTATAAAAAATGACAATTCGAAAGTTAATATAAAAGTAAAGTTTACGGATTACTGAGAAAGAAAATTGAAGATATTAGATATATTTTTGTGAATTAGTTAGTCCATAATTTTGAAACTACTATTTAGCACACTCTAATAAAACAATTTGATGAATATATTCGTCCTTAAAATAAATGATCGTTATTGCTTGTTTTTGATTTCTTACAAAATAACGCACAGTATAAACGCAAATTGCAAATCGCGTAAAAAAAAAAATGTACATTAGTGTAAGGTGAACGCAAATTAGAGAATTTCTAAATTTAAAATAAATTATTGTACGTATAAATGCGCAACTATATGATTTGCCAATTCCCATAAAGTTTGGTAAAAAGTCGGCAAAGTTTCAGTCGCAAACCGAAAATAGGAATAACGCTTCATTGTGTGAACCCCCAAAGCGGTTAGCTTTGCTTCAAAATTAGGTTAAGATTACAGTAAAAATTAACATCTGACCAAAACATGATCTTTTGTTTATTTATGGCTGAAAATAGAGGAACGATAGGAAGAAATAATTTTCATCCTTATGTGCATCAAACACCAAACTTGTATTGAATTATTAAATTTTTATTCTTTAGCAATTATTTATTTTTGTATTGACTGTTGCATGCAGACCATTCATTAAATTTATTTCGCAAAAATTCGAAAAAACCGAGCTATTAAAAGCACTGTGCAGCGAGTGAAAAGCACGTGAAACATCTCAGAATAATGGAATTGTTTGCTATTAATCGGTATTTGTCACGTGGAATATAGTTTTGTTTTTTGCTTTTTTTTTATTGAAAAAATATTTTTTTATATAAAATTTAGATTCACGCTTAAGCAAGAGAATGAAGAAAAGAAGGAAAATGAAATTTTAGAAAAGCTACAGCATAAAGTGAAAAAGGCGAAGCGTCGACGTGTTGAAGAGAACGAAAAAAAATTGCCCATTGAGTCCACCGTAGACGAACCAAGCCCAGTTAATGATCTAACCGAAGAAAAGATTGATTTTTCTCCAAGCCTCGAGATTGCTGCGGAGAATGAGAAAAATGGAGATCTCCTTCAGTCAGACGAACTAAATGGTTTCGAGATATTAGGACAAAATAATGTTACTAAGGTAGGAAAAAATTCTATGGTTTTGCCCGGGTGGCTAGCTCGCCCTGAGGTTGTGCCTATTGCCATTGCCACAGCAGATCAATCAATTGATCGGGAAGGAGATTTATCTACAATTCCATATTTAACCCCATATGTACGCAAAGCGTTGAAAGAATTGAACATCAATAGATTGTTTCCAATACAAAAGGCCGTAATTCCTTGGATTTTGGACGCTCATTCGAAACCACCGCCTTTCCGACCGCGCGATTTGTGCGTATCGATGCCAACCGGAAGTGGGAAAACTTTGTCGTTTGCTATTCCCATCGTCCAACTATTAGCAAACCGCGTTCAACGAAAAATACGGGCTTTGGTGATATTGCCAGTAGCAGAACTGGCAGTTCAGGTGTTTCGGGTTTTTAAAAAACTATGTGAGCAAACTGATCTTTCCGCTTGTCTACTTTCGAAGCAAACACCTTTGCATGTCGAACAGACAAAATTAATCGATTTATATAAAGGTGAATATTATTCAAAAGTGGATATTTTGATTACGACACCAGGTCGTCTTGTCGAGCACCTTCACTCTACTAAAGGATTCTGCTTAAAATCTCTGCAATTTCTTATAATTGATGAAGCAGATCGCATAATGAGCGATGTTTTCCAAAATTGGCTACATCATCTCAATGCTCAGATACGAGTGACCTCCACTCACTTATTGGCTCGGACAGCACCTTTATGTTACAGCGAATTGGAGCTAACCCACTCAAAAACACCGCATAAATTGCTATTTTCGGCTACGCTTTCAAAAGATCCGGAAAAATTGCAATATTTAGAACTGTTCCAGCCAAAACTTTTTACATCGAGTGCAGATAATGTAAACGCATTTGAATATTTCGCTGACGTATCATCCAAATTAGAAACGGATGTCGGAGAGCAGTTTAGCAGATATACCGTTCCTGCGGAATTGACTGAAAAGTACTGTTTAACGGAAAGTCGGTTAAAGCCGTTGACGTTGTTTGCCCTCATCATGGAACACAAATGGTCTCGATTTTTATGTTTTACCAACAGTGCACAGTCTTCGGGCAGGTATAAGTTCACGCAAAGATTTAAGCAAAATATTTCGCAATTTTTATGAATAATTTCAGATTGTCCTTTGTTCTAAATAAATTATTTGGCAATCGTGTAAAAGTTGGTGAGCTTTCAGCCTCATTGAACGCTAAAGAACGTTCAAAAATGTTAAGTTCATTCATCCGTGGTAAAATCAATGGGTAAATTGCTATTAGTTGATCTCCTTCTCCTTGCATATAAGCTTTAATGGAAATTTTTAACTTTGCTAGATTAGTGTGTACGGATGCATTGGCAAGAGGTATTGACATACCTCAGGTGGATATTGTCATTTCCTACGATCCTCCGCGACACATCAAGACTTATATACATCGTATAGGTCGCACAGCACGCGCTGGCCGTCCGGGTACAGCAATTACATTGTTAAATCAAAAGGAGTGGTCCGATTTCAATGTAAGTCGTCAAGTTTTTCTTTAACGTTATTTGAAACGTTTACTTTTTCTATATATTTTCGAAATGGATAGCAAATTTTAAAGGAATCGGGAAAAGGAATAACAGACGAACTTTTGGCACCCATTAACATCGAAACAACGCATGCAAACGAATACTCAGCAGCCTTAACAGCTTTACGTGCGAAAATCACAACCAACAGCCGCCTTCGAATTTTACAAAAGGAGCGAATGAAAGAAAAGGCCTTGCTGGCTACCACCGATACCGCTGGAATGACGCTCATGGAGAAATTACAAGTGCAAGCCACTGTTCAGGTGCACAATAAAGCTCCTAGCAAGAGTTCGCTGCTAAGCGAAAAGAAAAATCCCAGTAAAATGTTTAAGCGTAGAAAGCAAAAAGAATAAAGCAATTTTCGCGCTATATAGGTTAAATAAGTAGACCTGATTTTTGTATTCCCAAACAAGATTTGTCGATTAGGTTTGCCTTATTATACATTCGCATATTTTAGGGAACGATATAGATGAGAGGGAAACATTATCAAGTGGAACGAAAAAAAATTCGATTTGAATTCAATCGACATAAATATGCCAAACAACAGTATAACCAATGTCTATGAAGAAAAGGGGCGTAATTTTAAATTTCACTTTAACTAGCGAACGTCGAAAACAATAATTTTTAACAGCAGCCGTTAATAGCTTTGTATTAATGGACACCTTCGAAAGATTTGCAGCAAATGATAAATAAAATGTAATCATTTCCAAATTCTCCCCAAGGATATTGTAAACAAAAAACGACTTGAAATTCCTTCAAAATGCAAAAAAAAAAAAAACACCTATATCTTGTACATCAAATGTAAGATTGAAGAGCGAAGCCTACGACGCCTATGACTAAATCCAGCACTGCAAGAAAAGAAATTAATGACATATCTTCAAAAAAAAGTCTACTTTGCATTACTTTCGGAAAATGGTTTTATTTGATTTTGTCACAAAACTATTCGAATAGATCAGATCGGCAGCCTATTACTGACTCTATTTTTTCTAATTAGTTTAAGAAAATGGGAAAAATAGGAGATTTATTCGAAAAGTTACAAAAAAGTGACATATGCAACAGAGGTTGTTGAAGGCAAACGAAAGGACATACAGAACAGAAACAGAACAGTTTTTACCGAATCGACATTTTTTAAAGAAACATGAGTTTCGCAAGGCCGCAAAGCAACAGCAACCCGTCCAGTTGTCTTCTAAACAGCTTGCAGCGATGCCATTCGGTAAAATCACGAAACAAACTTTGTACGCACTTAAGCAATATCATCATTGATGGCTCTGCGTTTTTGCAGTAAAAGAAAAGGAAAGTTGAACGTCGGCAACTCTTTTTTTTTTATTTTTTTCTAATAATTGAATTGTATTCATAAATCTCCCAATGTTTACCATTTAATAACCTTTATATGACGATAGCAGCTCTGCTAATTGATTGAATTTGTGGGAACGTGGAGTGACCTTGACAGTTTCTCCGTTGATAATTCTCGATAAGAACGTAATGATATTTTGTCGAAGGCATGTCTACAGCATTACCGTTCTCTGCAGTGATCACTTCAAAGAGAACTAATAATAAGTCGACGTTTTCTTCTCTGTCCTATCTAAGATATAACAAATTTTTTCGTTCATATGTTAAGTTTATTTCTCTTTTCTTAAAAAGTAAAGGCGGACGTACGGACATTGATTAATCGCAATTTATTTATCTATGTATAACAACTAAAACTACCAGTCAGCTTTCATTGTTATTATAAACTTACGATTCTTATTGAATAAATACTGAAAATACTTTGATTAATTGCTCGCTTCTTAGCAAACAAAAAAAAAGAAAATCAACAAATATTTGGGCGTACATATAAGGTTAGATTAAGATACTATCTTAAGAAACATATTTAGAATAAAACGCAACTCGGGAACGACAAGGGCAAGAACATTGCCGTAGATCGGTATATCACAGTCTTTGGCGTACACACACACACACACACACACGCAGACATACATACATACATACATACACACAAACAAGGACTAGGCTACCACTTGGCAGTAAAGTGACCAGAGGCCATATTATTCCTCCACCATTAGTATGCATTGAAACGATCCATTCTTGATGTGTAAGATGTTTTGTATGTTAATTGCAAAACAAACAAGACTTTACAATAATATCATAATCTAAATTTATTCGAGTAGGCACAGATATATCCAACACTGATCAACACTGAATGATTAATGTCTACAAACGTATACAAGAAGAACGTTGTATGCGAAGCAATTGCCGAAGGGAAGAAGAAGCAGTCTTTTAAAAGAAAACAAGGAAGTTTGGTGTATTTGAATAGACGTTTTCTAAAATATCTTGAAAATAATTGATTCACGGAATTCAAATAAAAAATACTTTCTTTTTAAAATGATTATGGTGGATTAAAAGGGAAATACGACATGCCTAGTACATACATATTATATATGTATATATACATATTACATATATATATATATATATTATATATATATATATATATATATATATATATATATATTGCTTCTTTTATAGTGATTGCAAAAAGTGTACAATTTCCGGATTCGAATTAGCAACTGTGCTAAATTTTTCAGGGTAATTATCGCGGATTTCCTTCAGAAGTCCAATAGCGTTGTCACGCGTCTCTTGATCGACAAATTCCTTTTTATATAATACATGTATTGCAATCGCGAGTATTTGCTCCAATGAGCCGAGAATGGTGTCACGTTGTTGAATGTAGAGCAGTTTAAAGCATTTGAAAACTGAGTTGTTCTCATCGAAATCTTCGCGCAAAGGTAAATTCTGCAAAAACACAGGCAGCACTTGATTAAGTGGTACTAGACTGCAATTCGTTATAATAAGACGGGCAATCGCCCCGCATATATTATCTAATGCCGCTGGTTCAGTTTCCTTTGAAACAGCTTCCGACAGGGCCATTAAAATGTGGTGATAAGCTCTGAAAAGAAAAAAAATCGTAGTTTCCCGTCTTAGTCTCCGATTTAGTATTATAACTAAAAAAAAAAAAAAAAACTTTCATACTCGAATGATTTTGCCTCAGCATACAGTACCAGTTCACCCAAACCAAACACGGCATTTTGACGGGCCTGGTAAAAGTCATCGCCAAGTCCGTCAATCATAAGAGGACAAAAGGTATCAAAATACGAGCCGGCATAATTTTGTAGTGCAGCGAAACACTCAGCCAATGCTCCATACGCAAAAGCTCTTTGCGATTCGAATTCTTGCTTCCTCTTGGCTTTTTGCTACGAAAGTATAAAAATAATTCAATTAAATGCATAATTAAAATAACGGTTGGGAGTGTAATACCAGTTTTGCAACGATTATGGGGTAGACGCGACCGAAATACATAGCAAATTGCTCGGGCGGCATTGCAAGACCAAAAAGAGGTAACAAATTTCCAGCGCTTTCTACAATGGCTTCCTCATATTCGCTTTCTTCAGTTTCTTCATCACCGCTACCAGTTGATTCATCGAACTGGCAAGCGACCTTACCAAGTAGCACATCATTAATGCACGTGAATATTATCTCACGCATCTCTTCAGTTGGTAAAGCATTATGCTTCAATTTCTTTAAGAGATTAGAGAAACTTTCTAAAGCTGACAATACAACATTTACTTCCTCATCTTCACGAACGATATGCCCGAGCTTCGGTATCAATATTTTAAGAGCATTATTAACGCCCTGAACATCCTTTTGCCTATAGAGAGCAATTATAAAACTTGTGAGAGCATCAATAGACACTTTCCGTATATCTTCTTGAGGATGATCAATCATTTTGTAGACATTCTGATATGATTGTTCCAGATACGGTATAAAAGCTGGTCCAGTATGTTCAGCAAACTCCTTTAACGCCAATATAGCTTCTTCCTTTTCATCGAGAAATGAGTTTTCCACACTATATCCCGCAATGTGATCTAATAATGCGTCGTCTTCTCCATCCGAATGCTCAATGTCAATTTCGCGATCATCACTCTCATCATTATCTTGGGCATGCACATGAACGATATCTTCCTTATATTCGGGTATTACCTCTTCTGTTGACAAAATAGATTGAAATAAGCGTTCCATGAATTTTGGATAAACTGAAGCCATTTCCTCGTTGACTACTTCAGCCAACGATGCAATCAAATTGTATAGAGCACGGCGCAAATCGGGGTCGTCTTTCGCCTCCTCCAGCAAATTTAATGCGAAGCTCATTGTATCCGTTGCCAGCGGCATAAAGTTTTGTTTACCAATTGTACGAGCTATTGCCGCCAGTGTAGTAATAGCTTGAGAACGTAATGACAAAATGTCTTCGTTCTCGGTTTTCACCAAATAAGTTTGCAGTAATGCAATTAGTTGCTGAAAGTAAGGCATCATATTCTCTTTGGTGGCATTAGCCGCGGCAGAAATAGCGCTAAGTGCTAGCTCTCGAACGCGTGCCGAATTGTTGGGATTCATGGCTTCAAATAGACTTAACGAAAAATAAACAATAATTAGAACCTTTGAGAGATCTATATTCGGATTATTCCGAATTTTCAATACCCATCTAAAACGTCGAAATTACAAATTATTTGCGCTCGCACAGACGGACGAAGAGTGTACAAATTTACATTTAGTAATGTACTTTCAATTATCTAGTTTAGCTGATGGGTATTATTATGAATTTCAATGCAATTTACCGTTCCATTAATAATGGTAAATGTGGGATTAAGGCATCTTCCAAATTTTCGCAGAATGTTTCTAAAGCATAGAACATGCGATCAATGTGCTTTGGCTCAGTACCGCCACTCTGTAATGAAAAGACATGATGGTATAGATATTTACAAACACAATCTCATATATGTCTCATATATGTCTCATGCTAGTTTAGAAAATGAACCCGTTATATAAACATAAATGTATGCTTCACCACTACCCGCTGGGTGTAAATATTTTTTCACCTTTCGGGCCATTTGTTGATACCAGACCAGCGAAAATCTTCCCTGCGCACTATCTCTTTCCCATCTTTGGACGAACCAAGACGCTGCGTAGCAAGCAAATGGAAATCGAAGGACATCACGCGTAGTGTGGCAATTCTGAGTTGAATGCTTCCAATGCTTCCGCTAACCAGCTCTGCCGTATGCGATGGATCATTTTCCTGCGAAAAAGGGACCACGGGTTGCCTCTTTTTGCAGTCCTAGCAAACGCACAGCACAGCCTTCTTTCCCTCCTTAATGCAATCGATATGGATGTTTCACCTGGCCTTACCTATAATCTTTTTCGCTTAAAATTCTCAACATAAATCTGATTTTCATCTCCAGTAAATATGTGATTCAAAAACGATTTTTTTTTGTATCTTTCGAGCAAAAATAAAAGTCCTGTCTGTGATTGTTCTTTATTTGGAACAAATTTCGACATATCGAATACAGGGAAAAAAAAAGAGTACTGTGCAATAACTTTCCATTGGCTTGCGTTTGATACTTGGTGATCGCCCAATAGCAAGTCATATATATCGAATTTTTATTCTACACACTATATTGGTACGTCATCTGTTTTTTAAATCCTCGTTTCAGATTTGCAAACGCACTATGAAAGCTTATTAGGTAAAGTATCTAATTAAAGGAAAAGAAAAGGAAAGAAAGCATATCAATGGTCTGTGCTGCTTTATATCCTTCCCTTTTCTCCCCCGAGTATGATTTATTGAAATTTTGATGCACTTACTCTTAACTCGTTGCACAATTGTTGAAGAAACTCGAAGAGAATGGGTAGAATTTGTGGCGCGTAGTTAGTAATATCCGGTTGCAGATGTTCCGAAAATTGACCCAGTGCAAAGAAGGCTGCATTTCGAACTATGGGTATGGGATCTGTAATCCCTACCTTCACAATATTTAGCATTGTCTCCAGATATTTATTGCAAATTGCTTCGGAGCAACCTTCTGCAATCACCGCCATGCTAAGATAAGCGGCGCGACGTGGCAGTGGATCTTGGCCCTGTAAAGCGGGCTCTAATAAGTGCAACAATGGTGGAATGAGCTTCTCGGGTGGTACGTTCAAAGCCATCAAATCCATAGTTTGCGTGGCGGTGCTCATTGGATTTGAATTATCTTCTCCTAAGAAATATTCCTCATCGTCTATATGCCAATGAACGAAATTAATAATATATATTATTGATTATTTATAAGAAGTACAGAATAAATAAGACATACCGTCGCCACTTTCCGGCTCGGTAGCCATTAGACTAAAGACAACTTGAATTATCGGTTCAATTAGTTTCTGTTTGATAATAATTTTCTTTTTTAATCGAACCAGCCAACCAATATAAGCGACACATTTTACTCGAACTGCACTATCTAGTTGAGAGTTTTTAGCCGCTTCCAGGCAAAAGTCCAATAGTATCTTAATATTGTTCGTCAGTAATTTCGGGGTATGATCGGCCATACCGTCTAAAATTTCAAAGGCAGTGACGAACTGATAAGAATCTGGTAGAACAGCAAATGCGCGTAAAGATTTAACTATTAATGGAATAGCTTTTTGATAAGTTTGTTCAGCAGCGTTGTGGCCCAAAATAAATGGTATTAAAAACGTCATTCCAGAGAGAATGTTTAATATAACTGGAGACGCCATGTTACCGTTAGCTTCAGTAGCCGTAAGAGCGGCCATGAACATTTCACAAACAGACTCCATGTAAGGCACGAATTGATCGGGGGCAACATCGGCTAGTGCAGCAAACACGGATGAACCTAATTCACTTTGTTTGGGATCGGCTGAGCTACAATGACTGTAGACAAATTTAAGTACCTCATTCATCCACGAATCATTTTTGTCAGCTTCATGACGAACCAATACGCCGACACATTGCGCAATTGCATTTCTAACAGGCTTCTCTTCTTCAGTAACCAAGGCATTCATCAATGTCTGCTTCATACTTTATAAGAAATACTTTGTTAATAATAGGTCTCAAATGAAATTATTGGCCATTGTTGGCATAAATAAATAGCAAACGTACATTTGTTGCTGCTCAGAAGCCACCATCTGCCAATTACGCAATTTCCCTAAACTCTTTTTTAGCAATGTCGCTGCATATTGGCGCACTTGTGGTTCTTTGTGTGTTGCAATGAGGTCACATAGCACGGATAAAGCTTCTGGGTTCTTCAAAGCTACTAAGAGATCGGCAGAGGCCTGAAAACGGTCAGTTACTTGCATTATAAGTTGTTATCTATATATATATATAATATATATATATATATATATACATAATATAATAAATGAATAAATATTTATAGCAATTGTTCACTTTTGTTTTCTTCAATAAATGATATAATTACAAATTTAAAATGAATAAATAAAATGGTATTCACAAATATACAAACACTATCAATATAAACATTATTGTACAAATAAGACATAGCAGCGGAGTCAAATTCTTCAAAAACGCTTTTATTTACATTAAAATTCGGACGCAATGACAGACACACCATACATGTACTTTCGCAGGTAATGAAAACATTTCGACTATTTATAGAACAGGTTCGGCTGAAGACTTTTATGTTTAATATCGAGTAACATATTAACTTTGGAATCTTGTTTGTAAACGAAGATGAAACACTTTACTGCCGTGAGTAGTGTGTACTCATTAATATGAACAGGAATAGAAGGTATACGCCAGCGTCACATTCTCAACCAATAAACCAATCAACCAAGACTGGGACAGAAAGCTTTTCCAAATATTTATAATAATGTTAAGAGATTTAAATAATTCGAAATGGAATGGAATCTAGCTAAAGGTTAAGAGGAGCAAATTTTTAGAAAATAATATCATCCCACCAAAAAAAAGGTAAGTCTACAAAAGTTCTTTTCGAAGTCTTCATAAGAAAACTGAAATTAATTTAGTTATCTGCTCCTTTCTTGAAATTGCCGATTTTGTGAACAATTTCGCACATCCAACTGTCCCCTTTTTTTATTTAGTTTCAAATTCGTTTACATTAATTAACCCGAAATTTATAAATCCGTTTTTAAGCTCCGGCTAAAAAAAAAATTTCAAAGCGAGAGTTTAATAAACAAAGTACACTCTAAAGGAAGCGTATTTAATTGGAACTTAAAATATTTACTATAAACTTTTCCTCTCAAGGATAAGCTAAATTCTTAAGGACTTTAAATATTTTAGTTTTTAATTTGTTTTTGCCGCATTCACTAGTATTATGTCGGGATTTACCACCAAAAAGTCATTAGCGGCATTCCCCGCCACACCCAGCATGTGATTGAACCGAACATGTTTTATAATATTTCGCGTTATACATTGTGTACGCAAATCCTTTTTCGTCTTCCCATGTTGAATTGTTTATATATATATATATATATATTAATAATTCTAAATCAAAGAATTGACGTACACAATATATAAGAGAGCTCGCCCTAAAGCACAGCAGGGAAGCGCCAGCATAAATGAATGAAGCATTTGCAAGCATTAATACCTGTCATAAGAATAATGAGAAATTTACACGTGTTTTTTCTTTTTTTGACTTTTAAAATAATTATGAAGGAAATACTTTGCTTTTCTTTTAATTTAATCTAATCAAAATTAAATTTTTTTTGTGTGTTTCGTTTTATAATTACCTGTTTAATGAGATTATTATCGGCACACAATAGGTTTTTTATAATTTGTTCAAGTTCCATTTTTGCACCAATCGGGCGAATTATTAATATCGTAAAACTTTATAGAATATAATAAAAAAAATAAATAAATAAAAACAGTTTTCTCAAACAGTTAATTTTTATAAAGCCGCGTTAAATAACTTCCAAAAAGTCCTTTTAATATGTCTAAATATTCTTTTCCCTTTTTTTCGTTTCTTTTCTTGTTCTCGCCTCTAAATGCGTCTTCCGGTCTGGTCGATTGCAAATAAACGAATATGATTAGTTTTGATGTCAGCGATGTCAGCGAAGAATATTTATTATCGATATCATTTTTACACGACACTATATATCGACTTGTTCCTTTTGTTTGTTGGGTGTATCGCGTATGGACATTCTGTTATATATTTATTAATTAAATTTTGATCAAATTTGGGTTTTCTCATACTGCTTTAGAATAAAAAATACTTTAATACTGATATATTAATTCAATTTTTATTTATTCCTTAACTTACATAGTTGCCATTTTCATCATTTTGCTTTTGCGTAAACAAGTTATACAATTATTTAAAGCAATATGCCGATTACTCTACATCCATTCTAAACATTTGTATCAAAGAATTTGTACATTGATATTTTGGCGCATTTTGATTTAAAGTAAGCGCATTTATATCGCCATCTTTATTATAGGTTAAACAAAAAAAAAGTAATTTTTTTAAGAAAACGATTTTGACAGCATCCACAGCATATAGTTCAGCAATTAGCAATCATTACAAATCTTTACACATACTATCTATGTGCCTAGCATTCGTTCTCTTTGTTAAATCTATAAAACAATGCAACAGGTCAATTGTCAAAATGTTATAAAATCTCAACCACCGAAGTATCTTCTGAGTATATTCAATACGGATGAATTAATAAAGAGACCATGTACGAATTTTAGATAAGTAACTTTTAGAAATTCAATTATTTTTTTTTTAGTTTTTAGCGATATCAAGGATAACAAGGGCGTGAAGAATGCTAACGCTGATGGTTTTCATGTAAGTCAATCCATTTGTTGCGTAGTTAAACAATCCAAATAAAAAAAGAGTTTAATGCGAACGAATATTATGCAGATAAAAGATAAAAAAATTGTAGAAGTCGTAAGAAACTCGGAAAGGGAAAATAATTCATTTCAAAATGTTATGACCACTTTAAACAGTAGTTCACGTAAGTAACATATCGTAATAGAAGTTATTAACTATTGACTTTCACTTCCTTGGCCAGTAGCATCGCACGATAGCACACAATACATACCTCTACATAATCCTTACCTTTTAAATGTAGCAGATCGTATCAGCAATGAAACAGTTAATTTGGAAAGTAATACTTCACTGGACGAAGGTAACGTTCTTATTTATTCTACAGAACTAATTGAGAAAAGCAAAAAAAATCAAGAACCTGAGAGATCATTATTAATATCATATTTTCTAGATATTCAAGATCCGAATGAAACCTTAAATGATGTGGATACTGCCATGGTAAATAGACCGCACACCGCACAGAATTCTTCATATATCGCAGATAAATCAAGTGCTGTAAATCTGTTTGCCAATGTTAACGGGATTAGTTCATTCCATGAATCGGAAAACGATGGTTATAATCCGGTTGACTTTTCATCGCAAGAATTTGTTCCCGGAGAATTGATGTTATCGAATCTGAAATTAGATGAAATTTCTTGTGCTAATGGATTCGTCGCAATTCGAAGAAAATTGCAAACCTTAGATACTACAGAAAAACTTGATGATGACAATATATCAACTAATTTCAATCCCGGAATAACTTTGAAGTAAGTACTTCGTCTTTCAATATGAAACTGAAGACCGAAAATTGCTTGATTTTGATGAATTTTTTTTTCAACACCTCAGTTCAGCAACGGCGTTGGGACAGAATCATTCAATAGGAAACTACTTTGGTACGCGTTCTAATATGCCGCATATTATTAAAAATGAACAAAACTTTCTTACTACTAATCCTACTAATTTGAATCGCTTCAAAACTGGTTACGTGTCAAAAGATCGTAGGATCAATTCTCTGCAAAATAAAGATCACGAACGCAATGGTAAAAAAGTGGCAGTACACGAGCGAAACGGCCTAGAAAATAAACATTCAAATGATAAATTGGAAATACGTAAGACTTTTACATATACAAACCCATTATAAATGCCTACTATTGTTTCTTTCATTATATATTGTAGCGAATCGGAAAATGAAAAGTTCGAAAAGATTGGCAAACACCGCGAAAACGCATTCGCTCTTGCTTTCGAGGTGCGCAAACTCACACGAAATTCCTAAAGAAGAATTGCCTGACAAACGCAAGTTGATTTTGAAAAATAAAGAAAATCTGGGAAGTCTGGTTCCGAATATAGTTACGAAAAAGCAGTTAAGTTTGAACGACACTCAAGCACGTGCCCCTCTTAAATCTTGCGGACGGAATTTAAATTCAGTAATAGAACGTAGCAAATGCAATTCTAAGGTTTCTGAACGTAAAGAGACTACTTTGTCGCAAAATAGTGAACCAGAGAAATTTGTCATAGCATCCTTAGAAGGTCATTTCTTAAAAAGTGGAATCAACAACATTAACGCTTTGAAATTTGATGTTTCTGGCCGCACCGATAGCAAAAAGAATGGAACGGATCAGTTTTCATCTAATCACGTCCGCTCCAAACGATCGGAAAACGCTAATCAATGTGTCAACAACTTGACGACAAGGGAAAAATCTCCCGAGCGATGTAAACTATCGCCGCCAACAACTTCACGTCATTGCCGCTTGACGTCTTCACTCAACACAACTGCGAGCTGTCCGCCGCCAAATTTCAACATAAACACTAACTCTTGCTTGCTCACCGATAACTTGGCGCAAACAATTTGTAAATGTACTTTAGCACCGTCAAATAGTAAAAGAGATCGAGAGTGCCCCACAGCACATAGCCATTCACACTGCTCAATTTCGAATGAATTGATTCATCGTGATTTTAAAAAATTACTTTTACAGGTCACAAGAACGAAATTGTCTTGGAAGAGCACCAAGTTACGTACAAATTCCCGTAAGAAGATGAAAGTGAAAAATGCTTCGAATAGTCGTTTAGTTTTACGTACAGAGGTTAGCGGGCCTGGATTTCAAATTTTCAATAAACAGGACAGCTGGTTCGTGTTAGACTCGCAGGAATGTCGCTTACTAGTCGTAAATTTTTGCCCAACAATTTGCGGTGTGGCAGTTGGAAAAGTTTCATTTTACGATCGAACTCGCAGTAACGTAATCAGTCAGTCGTCTCTTCTGGATATTCCTCTTTATGGTTATGGAGGTCATGTTTCTGTAAGTTTAGACAATATTGTAAACAGTCCCGTCGGATGCCCTTTTATACCCATGGGACGATTAAGCGAACTTGATCATCCACTAGAGCGAACTATAAGCATACGTAATAAAGGACCGTTAGAAGCGTTTGTAGTGTTCAGCGTGAATCCAGTTGGTTTTCATATAACACGTCTCGACAAGGAATTCAAAATAGAGCCAAAACAATCGCTTATTGCCGCAAACAGTTCAATTGACGTCCGAATCTTATTCCATCCTAAACGTGAACAAGTAAGAAAAATTAGCAGAAAAAAGGATAAGGTAGTAACTTTAGCCAACGTACGTGTAAGTTATGGAGATGAAGCAAGTCGCCAACGAGTTCGTAGGTTAATTCAATTAATGTCGCAAGACGAGCGTTCGGAAATGTTTTCTCAAGCTTTGGAAACGCTATGGACTTTTTTTCCTGGAGAAGTGGATAAAACTGAATTAGACGTGCTGAGGGACAATCCAAATTCTGCAATAGAACTGATAAGTGAAATACTGCGAGTGGATGAAATATTACTTACCTTAAATAATGATTTAATCAGTGAAACTTTGTCATCTTCAACGTTTTTTACGGAGTTCGAAGATACAAATGTGTTTCACACAGTTTATGCAGTTAATACGCCTGATTGATATTCTGCGAAAACGACTACGAAGATGCGAAAAGGGTAAATAGAGAAATGAGGTAAATTACCGATCAATCTAAAGACCATCGAATTGAATCTTGTTCCGACAATGTCTGGTACATTAAGCGAAAAATCACTTCTAATAATATTCGCTAGCAGCAGCATATTTATAGTCATATAGTCAGGTTTCTCTCTAATATCTATTTTAATAAATTTTAATATCAAATATTACTAACATATCTGATTTTGAAGATCGACTCCTACATGTCTCCTACACATCACGTCTCGTACCTAGTTTGCATTTATTATTAATTTCGTGTTATTGCGAATTTGCGTTGTTTTACTTTAATATATAGATTCACGTTGACCAATTTGCCAGTAGTACCTTGTGGTCTGCGTATTTAAATTTTTAATTTTTTGCAGTCTTATTTTTTGATTTTGTTGAGAATATATAATTTTATTAATTTAAAAATTGTCTAACAATTCACAAGTGATCTTATAAGAATAATAAGTACCGAATAATATATGATAAGATTAATATGTTAATGTTTTTGATAATAAAATATAGCTAGTTGTTCACTGCATTTTTATTAAACTTTGTTTATCTATTTTTTCCGCATCTGTGCCTTTATATAGATCCCAATACAAAATTAACGAGTGAGTTCCACTAACGTGTGCTTTCATCAAATGGTCCCCAACTAAAAACTTTAAACGTTTTCGTTAAAACTAAGTGTATCCTCTATGTAAGCAAAAAGTACTGTCGCTTCCAAAACTGACGGAGAAAGTAATAAATTTAGTTTTTAAATCACGTTTGCTTTGATTTTTTTTCGATTACTTGCTTTTTTCCTGACAAGATTTGTTCAATTGAATTTCTGATTTCGAAGAAGACGGCTCACCGTGTGATTGCGAATTTTCTGATTCTTTTAATTAAAGTGAATAAAAGTTGTCCTATAAACGAAGAGAAAAAAAGAAACTACATAATATTGGAAGGAATAATACAAACGGTAGCCAATTGAAGTAAGTGGAATAAAAATTAATAATTTCCTTTGGTTCAACTTAGATTTTTATATCTAATACATAGTTTTTTATTCAATTATATATAAAAAGGGCAGCGCGATAAATTGTCAGTTTCCTGTTATCATGAGCAAGGCGAGTTATATGGAAATCTGAAATTGCTTATTTCCAGCTCTATACTTGTACTTCATTTAAAATTTTTTTTCTGCACGGAAAATTAGTGATACTTTTTTCTTAATTAAAAAAACGAAAATTAAACGACCTAGTTCCATAGGTTTCTAAAAAATTCTATAGTTTCAGCCCCTTTGAAAAAAGGCTCCCCTTTTAGCCGTGAAATTCACTTTGATATTAATTATATTTGTTGAAAATAAATAAAAGTATTGAATGGATCTTCCAATGGTGCACATGTAAGCTAGATTTTTGCATTTGGAGGTAAAATTGCGAAGATTTTATACAAATGAACGTGAATTATAGGGTGCTAGTGTTTTAATAAATCGTAAAAAGCGCTTTAGAGTTCTTTAGATTGAAAAGATAGATAATGGCTATATCTTATGCGTGGTAATAGAACGGGGAAGACATTGCACCATTGCATCGTTGCTGTTAACAATGGAAGTTTTCAAAAAAAAAAATCTTCTTTGACATTTTTTAAATGAAGAAAAAATTGACATTTAATATGTCAAGCATAATTTTTTTTTGAAACGAAGAATAAAGAGACCTGATTATTTTTATTATTTTATCAGAGAAGAAAAATAATGTTTAGAAAGGAAATATACCGTTCTTTCAAAAGGAATAAACAGCCTACGTTTAGGTTAAGTAAACTTTATTTGGTTTCGTTTTTTAAACAATTTGTGAAACTTACTAAACTAAAAATTGTCGAATGTAATTAATTTAATTTCATTTTTTATTTCATTTACATGAATTAACTTGAATAAAATTGAAAATCTCCATTTTTTTCACAGTTTTAATATTTCAAGCCATAATTTTTTTCTGCACAATTAAATATTTCTTATTTACATTTTAAATTTTTCAATCAGGAATTAGTTTCTAAATTTGACAGACCCGATGACATGTATATGCTTTCTTCTCGTTCTATACAAAAATATGTCTTTACATTTAATCTGGCAATGCTACATCGTATGCCTTTATATTATTAGAAAACTGTACAAAATTATATTTGGACATTACGACAAGCCATGCGAAATATACAAGAAATATGCGGAGGAACGATAAATTTATTTTATTTTTGCTATGAAGCGTACCATATTTAATATTACAAAAAAAAAAAAAAAAATTAGTTGTCATTACAGCAAAATGATGAAAAAAGGGGAGTAAGACACTTTTATTTCCTTCTGGCAATGCTGCAAGTTATCGTCAGTCGAAAAAGTCAGTCACCAGGAATTACTTTTGCATTTCTAGATTTACATTTAATGATTTCTTTAATAGAAAAGCAGAATTGTGTCGAATTAAAGGGGTGAGTTAATCATCAATTATTAATGATAAAAAAAAAGAAAATAACGCTTGCCAGCACACGATGAATACAATAAAAAGGGACAACAGAGAAGATTTTGTAAATCAATTTATGTGTGCGGTCGTGGTCGTAGTGGCCGGAAGAAATAGAAACGACGTTGCTGCCTTCTTGCTGAGCGCTGTGCATTTTTTTAGGCAATTAATAGAAATTAGAGAAATCGTCAAAACTACAAAAAAAATAATTATGCAAATGTATTTGCAAGAACTTTGCATATTTTTTTTCGGTTAAAAGCTGTGAAAAAAAGCAACAAGTCCGATTGTTCGGCATATTTGACGTTTGCACTTATTTAATATATCACATCGTGTGAGAGTATATATACTCTCTTGGATATTTTTTTCTTGAATTCTCCGCATAAGTGAAAGGAAGAGCAAGGCAGTCGAAAGTTGTTCTATGAAATATATACAAATGTCATTTCAAGCAAAGTAGATGTGTGTGAGTTCTTTTGCCTTAATATTTAAGTGAAAAAAGAAAATTTTTTTTTCAATTAGGAAAAACGCAAAATATAGCTAGATTTTGGGCTAGTAAACAAAACGCAAAAGCATGCTGTGGATCTAGGAGGAATATATAATTTTCTAATAAAATCTAATAGAATGTACGTGTTTTAACCTAAACTCACCAGTGTTCAAAAGAATGGCGTACAACAGAATTTTTGTGTATGTGGCCCAAAAAAAACGTGAAAGACTGCAGTGATTTTTTCTATGATGTCAATTTGTGATATTTTTGAATTCTGTGCCACATCAACTCCTTTATTAAAAAAAATTATCAAATATATTTTTTAGAGAATTATTTTTTTCTTCAAATTGCAGTGTTGTATAAAAGTAATCAAAAGGAATAAACTGCGATAAAGTGAAACTAATATAAGTGAAAAAATAGCAAAAAGGAACTACTTAAACGTCACGCAATAATTTTAGTTTCTGTATTAAAAGTGCGGCTGCAACCATCACGTCGACGACGTAAACGTAAGAAATGTTTTGGGATAAGAACTATACGCCCTCGCAGAATATAGAAGCTCTGCTAAAAAAGGAGGTAAGTGCATGGATGTATTGCTATTAGTATGTTCGTCTCTCGTTTTTTTTAGATTGCATTTAATTTTTTTTTTGTTTTCCTTTCCAGAATGTCACAGTTGAGGAGTTTTTAGATGAAGACGATATTATCCAGGAATGTAAATCACAAAAGAAAGCTTTGCTTAACTAGTAAGTTGAAATTGAATTGAAATTGAATATCCTTACTGTGCATTTCTTTGCTGATGAATGTGTATTTTTAGTTTTATGCGACCGGATGTTATACGACGTCTCGTTGAACTAACATTAACTGAACCTCCGGAAGAATTGCCTGTAGCTCAACGTTTTCGCCATGCTAATGTTGCCTGTGAACTGCTAACACTGTAAGTAATGTTTATTTAATTTCACTTTTTTTTTTTTTTTAATTTTTATCTTTTGTTATTTATAGTGGTTTGCCGTCCTTAGATGAAAAATTACTCGCCGATGCAGACACATTGAAATTGTTGTATTCATATCTAGAAAATCAACCACCGTTAAATCCCTTGCTAGCCTCGTTTTTTAGCAAGACATTTAGAACGCTCTTCACCAAAAAGTCTGATCAAGATTGGTTTTTGTATCAACAAATGTGCCTCAAACTCTTGGAATACCTTAAATTGCAGAATAATTTTTTGGATTTGATATGTAAGCATTTCACAACACCTGTTATCCCAGATCTCATTATGCAAATGATGCGCAACGTCGAAGGCGGCCAACTAAAACGAAGTCTCTACGATGTAAGTTAATATCGTTCATGGCCCTTTGACTTGCATATGATGTGAGCTTCGTTTCTAACTTTCCAGTGGCTGAACGCGGAGGGCTTGATCGAGAAGCTAATCCGCATTTTGGCTGAATCTGAAGAGTGTGAGAAGCATGCAAATGTATCGGAATTTCTCTGTGATCTTATACAACAAGGGCGTACTATGCGTCAAACTGAACAAGACAATGATTCATTTGAGCCTGCCTTTGATGGTTCAAACCCAATTTTAAAGAATATCGAAAGTGCACCGACTTTAGAAGCCTTGTTTAATGTGATTTTGCAACCAAATGCTCAAGAGAGCGCAATTGTGTCAGGAATAACGGTTGTACTTAAAATTATAAAACCCATAGTTATCGTGTAAGCTTCCTATTTTCAGTTCATTTCAATTTGTGATACATGCTATACCGACCACGAAAAAGACTAGAGATATATTATATTTGTATCCGATCAGCGCGGTACTTCGACTCGATTGTTGTACAAGTTCACATTTATCTGTCCGCTAAATGCATTGTTTAAGTCTTAAAATAAATTTAAAATATGTTGCGGAATTTCGCGTGTCAGCTTAAAAAATCTGCTGTATAATGTCACAAAAAGCAAAAAATAATATTTTATTTTTTATATTCGTCTAAAATTTTTATCGGCAAAAATAATGACAACGAATATTGACTTAATCTGAAGTAGAGTTAAAAAATAATCGGCCAGACGATATGCTCACAGTTGACAGAAGGGTTTACAATTGTTATATATCTGCTGGATGTGGTAGGCGACGAGAATTCGCCCTAAAACGAATACAGTCTTTTTTTTTATTTTTGTTTTTATTAAAAAAATATATTACATTTTAAAGGGATGAACGCAATTCAGATCGTTTGAAATTTTTACAAGACCGTGAAAGGAAAATTCACGAAGATTTATTAAAAACTGTGATCTGTGTCATAGAACCGCATCTAAAACACTTTAACGAGTTACTCAGAAACCCGCCAAAAGTAAGTTGCAACATATATAACTTGCTTCTGTTTTTTGATAAATGCTAGTGCTTTCATTCTCATTTCCAGAAACCCGATATTGTTATATCGGCAGCTACATTATCGCCACCGTTTGGTACGACTCGTCTGCAGATATGTCGTCTTTTTACAGTATTATTGCAGACCAATAATGAAGACATATCCAAAGCGTGAGTTTTCAAACTTTTTATTTTATTCAATTAGATGAAGCTTTTTCATATCGGTTGGGTTTTTTTTCTCGGTTACTTTTTTTCAGTATCTGTGAGACAGATTTCTTTGAAACGTTGCTGTATTTATTCAAACAGTACTGTTGGAATAATTTTTTGCACAGTGAAGTGGAGAAGTGTCTTCAAATCGTATTTTATAATTCCTCAACGAACTATAATAACAACAACATTTCCAATAATATTTCTACTCAAATTATCGACAGTTCGCAAAATAGGCGCTGCAATCTGGGTGACAATGTCTTCGACAACAACAGGGATAATATATTCAATATTAAAGAACAGCAGCAATGCAGTCCCGTCGTGGTTTATCCCGAAATAGATGACGATCGCCGTATGGGAGACGGTCTAAATGTGGACGAAGATCGAAAGCAAGAGCAGCAAAGGCAAGAAGAGCGAGAAGCGGAGCTAATCAAAGAAGATATAAATAGTGAAATGGCAGTGCAGCCAGTGGATGAAATAAAAAATGAAGAGCAATCGTCGGAAGGAGCGAAATTAGAATTTGTTGAGGTGTTAATGGAAAGCAATGTAAATGTTAATGTTGAGCAACTTAATGCGAATATAGTTGAGATGTCTACCGAAAATGTTGGTGATAATAATGAACAAGATTTAACCAAAGTGTCCGTCAATATGGGACCGTCCAACTTACAAACTCATGTAACAACTACACCATATAAGTATGCATTTTTTTCTTTTTCTTATATCTACTTTCGCTTCTCTTAGGTTATTGTTAATTGCAAAATTATATCAAAATTAATGGATTGTTGGCAACATAATCGCGATGTTGAGTAAGTTCTTGTCTTTAAATTGTTTTCGAGTCGGAATCAAAAACTATTTATTTATTTATTACCATAGGTCAGTGGAAAAAGGTTGTCGTCTAGGTTATATGGGCCATTTAATACAAATCTTTAGGCATGTTATCAATTGTATATCGGAATGTGAAAATATTGGTGCCTTAATCGAAGCGAACTTTCAAAGCGACGCTGAGCGTGAATTGTGGCATTCAATTATGAACAACGACACCGGTGACTTGACCAAAGCATTAAAAACGCAGAGTCAACTGCTAGCCAATTGCAATGCTCACGAAGCATGCGATTATAATATTACATTAGACTTTTTAGCTGATACGGATTTGTCAGACGCATTGTAAGTATCTTTGTCCTAAATTAATTTTCCTTCTCGAATTCACTGCTTCATTAAATTTGTTAACTCCTCAATGAACGGTAGCAGTAGCCTCTGCGCTTATACGGATAACTCGGACGCGGTAAGTAATTTAAATTAATTGCCTGACGATTATTAAGTTTTGATTATGCATTGTTACAAATTCACTGCAAAATTGAAAGAAATGTCCAAAAAGACTGACAAAAAAAATCTGAAGTAAAAGAAAAGATGCTTGCCGCTTCTCTCCTGCTTTGCCTGTGATTTTATGAGTAGAACCAGTTTCATTGCTCTAAGAAACTTTCTACTTTTTCCATAAAAATACAATTAAAAATTATTCCTTGAAGCGTGAATTTTAAATGAAAGCAAAAGGTAGAGACCACTTTCGTTTTGGGGATATAATCGCCGATGTTATAAATCATCACTGAAGTAAAATTTACTGAAGGCGGCGACGCGGCGACGTGGCGTCGTACGTTTAGTTAAGAGCCCTGAATTATAATACATTGAACGAGACAAGACACTCTATAAAGCAAATGTGTTTTGTTTAGCATCATCTATCTTGCGCTGCTTACACAATTTTTGGCAGTTATTCGCAGTTATTCTTAGTGTCACGGCCTATTTTCTCAATTTAAAAATTTATTAACCCGCCGCATGTTACAAAGCCATTTGAATTACAATTACAACCTTTTTGAGTGACCTGCATTTGTTCTGATGTGAAGGAAGGATAGTTTTTTTTCCTGCAATGCATTAAATTACGTAATATAACTATTAATGGGAGTTATTTAGCCCTCTATACAATGCTGCAGGTCAGTTGAAATGACCACAATCAACACCTACAAGAAAGCGCGATTCTTTTTTTCTATTCTTTCAAGATTTTCGAAGCAAGGCTCCTATAATAAAGCTTGCCGTTTTAAAGGACGTTACAACAAATGCAAATTTTTGAAAAAATATTCACGACAAATAATCGAATCGGTTTGTATTAGTAAATTTTATAAATATTTAATCCCAATCACATTTGTCCCAATGTGAAGGAAAGTTTTTGCATTTTCTCGCAACTTCTGCGATTTTCATGTGCAAATCGAAACGGATACGATCGATATACGAAGTTAAAAATAGGGAATAATTTGCACAAGTTGTGACGGGGTTTCGGGTGTTGTTGCAAGGGAGGCGGGAAGGGGGTTTAACCTCGTATAATGGCACTTTTGTGGGGTTGGGGAACTGAAGGTAATAGAAAGTGCGTGCAATAATTGTGAATTTCATTAGAACAGTTAGAACAGCTAGTAGTATAGTGATGGCAGTCATAATGATGAATACATATGATGGGCAGGAGCTCATCAACAACACTCTCAATTTATTACAGTTTGACGATGATGATGAAGATGAGAATGCAACTGGCGGCGAGGTTCTCTCCATTTACGGTAGATCTTCAGCATTGTTATCCCCCTTCACTGCCACCAGCAATCCATGGGAAATGAATGATGATTTCAATATGCTTAAAAGTAGTAGCGCCGTAACAGCTGGAAATTCAGCACACTGGGCTGCGGACATTGGTCCAGACAATTTTGCCGATTTCGATGCTCATTTTAGTTCCTTTAGTAATGATTTAGGTGAAAGCTTCGGAGTATCGACCGCCAGCAATGCGGGCAACGAGTGCGTTTTTTCCAATGAGACCGGTAGCAATGCCAATAAAACTGGCTCCGAAAATTCGGAAGGATATGACAACAATGCTAATGTGGAAAAACCTGGCTGGCCGGCGAATTTTTTAAGATTGCAAATAAAAAACGAAGCACAATTTATTGCAAATAATTTAATAGATGACTATGAAGACGACGAAGGTATGTGGACAAGACCGTTGGGTATGCCACTAATGGCAACTGACGAACACTTGCGTAAAGCTGCTAGTCAGCTACAACAGCTTAATACGCAAACCGCTGCTACTAATGGTCCTAGCAAAGAAAAAAGTCATGATCAAGGTGATGAAAAAGAGGAAGTCACTGAAGACGATGATAAATTGTAAGTTATTTTTCCTTATTTATTTTCGTCTGAATAGCAAAGAGTTTTTAATTTCAATTTTTGAAATGATGTTAATTATTATATTTGATTTGCGAGTGATAGTAGTAGTTATCGTTTTCATTTATTTTTTTGTTTTAATATGTAATATCGAATTTTATTTTGTATAGGAATAATTCATTGGAGGAGGACAAAAGGTTGAAGGCCAATCCAATGCAATTTTACTTCACTGAGGGGTTTGATCAAGACGATGCTAATGAGATTAATTTAGATGTTAAACCTTCCATGCACAAGTTAAATACTTTGGATATAGAAAATAAGCTATCGAATATTAATAGTTCAGTTACTGATGAGGAAACCACTACTGCTGCTGCTGATGTCAAAGACAACGTTACCACAACGTAAACTAATCGCATAGATTATGTATCCGTAAACATAACTACACATACACATACATATATATTACACAAACGCATACATACCTATCTACATACATACATTGATACGTGCACACATAGACACTTACATACAAACATGCATATATGCATACATAGGTCCATAAATACGTACATATATATACACTTATATACATACTTATACGCAATGTCACTATCGCACATGGTATTGGAATATATAAATAACTTAGCATGTCAACTTCGTCTAAAAAGAAAGCAAAAAAACAACAACAAAAAAGTAAATACACCATATATAAAATAATAGAAAAAATAATAATAATAATAATAATAATACAAAACCAAATATTTTAATAAACTACAAGCTCACACACATCATCAGTCACTTGAACAAAATCCAAAGCATGAAAAAAGCAAATGTAAAACGAAGAAAATTTTACAGCAAATGAAAGAACACAAATGAAAATTTTTAGTTAGAATTCTATAAAACTGCGATTAAAATAAGAACAACAAACAAACAAATAAACAAACAAATAAACAAACAAACAACAAACAAACAAATGACAACAAAAACAACAACAATAATAATAATAATACTTCCTCTATTTTTCTCGTTTTTTCCTCAATTCGATTTATATATGCCTCCATTTTTTTGTAAAACTACTATTGCATAGGTAAACATTAGCATTACATGTAAAAAACAAAAAAAAAAACAAAAACAAAAAAACAAAAAAAAAATACAATGTAAAAAAAACCAAAAGCAGTTAAAATAAAATTTATTACGTTAGGCTAGTATAAGATAAACACACACACCTAGACACACCTGGGCATAACCGTGTGTGTGTGTGTGTCTCTGTGTGGGTGTAAGTTAAAAGAACCCGCCCAAAGCATTAAGAGAAACAAATGATAGTTAAAATCTTACTATTATTATTATTATTATATAATAAAAATCCTCGCTCTCGTATTTGCCAATTCTATCCGTCACATCCATACAATTCATTCTTTACATTTGCGCCTCCGATATTTGATTGCGCGCTCTTAATTTTATTCTGAAATTTTCTGTGTAATGTTTAAAAGAACTTCCTTTTCTCTCTTAATTATGTGTCATACGCTTAAAGCGAACTACGTGCTGCTCACTTAAAATAGTTTTTATTATGTTATAATAAAGAATTTGTTCAAATTAATAAAAAAAAAAAAAAAAAAAAAAAAAAATATTTAAGAAAATACCAAATGGTTTTGGGAAATTTTTTATTTCTTAAAAACAAAGTAAACGTTCGAATTGGAAGACAAAAAGAATTATAAAATTAAATAAAAGTATTTTATAAAAGATTCGTTAAATTTAAAAATGATAATAATAAAACGGCGTAGATGTTAAACCCAGCCAGCATTTTAGTATCACCAAGTGTTCGTCCAAATAACTCATAAAATTTAAGTTTCTTTGTTTTTATTTTATTTAGAAAAAGAAAAAAAAAAAAAAAAAACATAAAAAAGAACAAATAAATTTCTTACGAAAAATGTTTGAAAACATAAACCATATATAAAATAAATAAGTAAAACCCTGCCTTACTTAAATTTTGTCCTATTATGATGAAAAAACAAAAAAAAACGAATAACGATACACTTTATATAAAATATTTTTTAAAACAATTGGTTAAAACGAAAAAAAGGAAAAGAATTAAAAAAAAAAAAAAAATGGATAAAACCTCTTCAAAAAGTACAAAATTACACACATTCACATTATAAATTTATAAACTAATTTATTGTAAACGATAGCTAAAAGAAAACAACATATTTATATAAGTAAAGACTTTGTTTTATGAAAGCAACATACTCACATATACCCGCGCATACCGGACATCAATCTCGAACACATTCTTATATACAACTCAATACAAAACAATACAATACCATTCTATATTTACTGTAAAATATAATACATTTCAATATAGCATAGCACACAACACATGATACAATAATACAACAACACGTAACACCTGTAACAAGAAACACTCACTCACACACTCCCATTAAGCCACACAAAATAGAGAAAAGAAGAAAAACCTCAAAAATTGTGCTAATGATTAAACGAAAAATGTTGATTATAATGATGATGATGATGATGATGATGATGATTATTCAAGCGCTTTAGTTTTAACGATTTCATGATTATCCACAACATTCATAATAAAATCCTTTAGTTTTTAATGGTTTTCAAACATATCGGATTAAATAAAAAAATTTGAAAAAGAAAAAAAAAAAAAAAGAAAAGAAAAGAAACCAAGAAAAGAAAGTAAAAGAAGAAATGCCATTTGCTGCTTCCAAATATTTCGTGAATCGTTAAAATTTATGTAATTATATTCGTATATAATTATTTAAGAAAACTTAATTAATAAAAAAATCATAAAATTCATTTTAATTAAAATTTAAGGCACTTTTTTTTTTTTTTTTTTTTATAATTAAATATAATCTTAAAAATACTTTCAAGTGATTGAGTTTAAATATGTAAATGACAGCTTTAATTAGTAAAATAATAACGAAAACGAAAATAAAAACAGAAATAAATAAGAGGAGTAAAATTTAAATTTAATTTTAGATATAAAAATAAAAACAAGAACGAAAGAATATTAATTTTTTTTTTTTTTAAATTTATAAAAAAAAAAAAAAATCCAACCACCCAAAAAGCAGTAAAGAAAACAGAAAAACTTCTTTCTAACGACCACTACAAAAAAATTGTTTTCTCTTTAAAATGTCTTGCAAATCAAAAGATAAAGGATAAAAAAAAAAAAATAAATAAACAATAAAATAAATAATGGAGAAAAAAAAAAAAAAAAAAAAATATATATATATATATATAAGAAAACTGTGATAGCATGTCGATGTTGTTTTGACAGTTTACGTACATATTAATATAATATTACATGCTCACCATAATGAAGTTATTGCCTATTAATTTCTGAAATTATTGCCCATTACCTCTTGTTTTTTTTTTTTTGTTTTTTTTTTTAAGGATTAAAAGTAGTAAAGGGGCCTGAGATTGAGATTAATTATTAAAATTCAATTAAAAAAAATCACTACTATATATAGTCTTATCTAACATAGATCCGAGTACGCGAGTAATTGTAGAGAACTAATGAGTATGAATTATATGATCGCATTACTTTTTATAAATATACCTACAAGTTCTCCGTTCTTTTTCTTTCACACACGGATTTATTATTTTTATTTTGTTTTGTTTGGTTTGCTAAAAAAAAGAACGAAAGGGATTGAGTGCAGCAGTGAAAATACCTATTAAATGTAAACGAGTATAAATGTTTGTAAAGACCTTATGATTATGAATTAGTGTAAAGCATGCATCGCATGCATATATCACTAGATAAATATGCAAAAAAAAAAGTATTTAATTTTAATTAGAAGTGTAAACAGTCTCTGTGTATTTTTTTTTATTTTTATACTTTTGCTTGATTCGCCCAAAAATTTTAAAACCGTTGGACTAAGTCGATCAAAGTAAAAAAAAATAACGTGAAAACGATTCGCACTGAGTACTTTGAGCGGCGCTTTTATTTAACATATTTCCAAATAGTAAATTGATTTCCTTCTCTCTTCTTTTCCTCCCTCTCCTCATCGCTTTTCGTTTTGCTCCTTGCGCAATTATATTATGAGATTGATTTGAATTCGCTCTTTGGAGCGATTTCAGAGAGTGTAAATTTTTATACAAAATTCGAAATAATTTATTATTAGGTGTGCAAATAGAATTTTTCCCGTTTTTTTTGATAAAAATTCAACTTTATTTAAAATGTAATTGCTATAAAGCTTAATAATCGAACTATGCACCATCATCATCTATAGATTATTGCCATCCATCGGGTAGCTTATGCCTGTTGACCTGCCAAATTTGCTTGCATTAATATGAATAGGCGGTAATCGGAAGAGCTCACGTCTGGAGAATATGGCGGGTGCAGCAAAACTTTTCAACCCAAGTTCAAGTTTAAAATTATTTCCTTGATTGTTTTCGCAGCGGACGAACGCACATATGTGAATTTTCATCACTACAATTTTTTGCCTATAATCTCGCAAATCATTTCCGAACTGTTTCGAAGCTTAAGCAAGCAATTGGCAATCGAAGGAATTTACTCGTACATCCAATATTTGTCCAGACAAAGCTTTGCAAAAAACTGAAATGAAATTACGGTGAAAATATTTTCAAAAAATGTTCATTAAAGCAATACTTTGCGGGAATTTAAATCATTTTATGTTCAAAATGGATAAAATTTTAAACTCTTCATTATAGGGAGCATATTATGCTTTACACTATTTCATGTTTGTTAAGTAAACGAAATTTTATTATTTCAATTCCATAATTTTTCAATTAACTGGAGCTAAGTGGAAATTAAAATTTTTATATTTCTACATTCTTTGTAGAGGAATTCTCCATAAGGTCTCTGTAAGCATTTATGCTCAATCGAAGAACTTACATAAATGTATATGAATATGGAGAATAAATTATAATGGATTGTCCTCTCTCTGCTTTGAAGTACTAGTTTCATTAACATCGAAGACAAAGGCGGTCTTTGTCCCTCACCCCTTACTCTTCATCGAAATAGTTATAATCAAAAAAAAAAAATAAAAAAAAAATAAAAAAATAAATAAAAAATCTCAATCATGGCGTAGTACGCTTTAACGGATTTTTTAAGTATTGAGAGGATAATCTATATTATAATTCAGTCGTGCTGGTTTAGTAGAGAAGTGCACAGTTCGGATGAGTTGCATCTAAAACGTATGCAAATATAAAACATTTCATTTTCTTCTCAAGAAATTCATGCAAAAATAAATATTGTATAATTTTCTGTAATAAGTTAAGCTTGATATGACACATACATACATACATACATACATACATACATACAATCTTTGAAACGAAAGTCAAAGTAACTCAATGCAATAAATTTGTTAGATAATGTTTACGAAATGAAAGTTAGTTTCATATTAATACCAACAATGTCATCTCCTTATATGTGTACTTAATATATTTATATTTTAAAGTTCCACTTATATTTATCTGTCTCTTACTTCTTGCACTTTACCTCAAGCTCCATACCGA